CTATACCCCAAGGTACAGTATAAAGGACCAGCAGATGGCTGGACAGGCTAACATGAAGCAGAGAAGGACTAGAACATAAGAGTGTCTGAAACAAGAGCCTGACAGGAGGAAACGGGAGTCAGGGAGTTCAGCTGGGCAGCAATTGCAGCCCAGAGAGACACGAAGCACAGGAGGTTGGGTGACTGGTTGGAGGTAGGACACTGGGGAGGGCAGAGGAGGCTGTCTTATTTACTAGATTTGGAAGAACACGTCGAATTAAACAGACACAGAGCCCCAGTTACCGTGGTGAAGCATGGGTCCAAGCCCCGGACCATTTATTAGTTATGCAACCGTGGGCAAGTTACTTGTTTAAGCCCCTATTTTCTCAAAGGTAACATGGAGATCATATTACCACCTATTTGGGTTGCTATGAGGAATTCATGAAACAATCCGAGGGAAGTGCCAAGCACAGTGCCTGGCGTGTAGGATGAGTTGATAAAAATCTGCCGTGAATTTTACTTAAAAGCAACTTGGGGCTTGGCAGGAGAAGGTAAATCAGAAGATGAGGTCTCTATAAATGCCTTTCCTAACCACACCCTACCCTACACATCCAGGTTTTGCAATTAATGTTCATTGCTGACAATGTTCTTTCACTTTTGTCATGAGCTCTGTAGTTGTTTGGTCACCTAAATGATCTTCTTATCTGCACTGTCAACAGTGTCTTCGGATTATAAGCTAATGGTCAGGGCTGTGCCTACTTAGGGTCCCATCTCACTTGCCCTAGAGCCTGGCAGAGCTCCCACAGACGCAGCCTTAAAAGACATTTTGTTTATTTATTTGTATTTATTTATTGGGGGGTGGGGTGGACAAAGAGAGTGAGAGCGGGGGGAGGGACAGAGGGAAAGGGAGAGAGAATCCCAAGCAGGCTCTGAGCCATCAGTAAAGAGCCTGATGAGGGGCTTGATCTCATGAACCGTGAGATCATGGCTTTAACCCAAATCAGGAGTCGGACACTTCACTGACTGGGCCACCCAGGCGCCCCTAGAAGGCAGTTTGGAAATTAACAAACCTTGAGGCACCTGGGTGGCTCAGTTGGTTAGGCATCTTACTTCGGCTCAGGTCATGATCTTGTAGTTCATGGGTTCGAGCCCTGCGTGGGGCTCCATGCCAAGAGTTTGGATCCTGAAGCCTGCTGTCTCTTCCTTTCTTTCTGTCCCTCCCCCACTCACACCCTGTTTCCCTCTCAAAAATAAACATTAAAAACATTTTTTAAAAAAGAAATGAAAAATGAAAAAGCCCTGACTTTCCTTGTTTGCCCTGGGAAACTGAGGTAGGCCCAGTGTATGTGCTTGCTAGGTAGACATCTGCTTTCATAGCTAACCTCTCACTGCCGGGAAGACAGGTAGAGATAGGTGCTTCTGTCCCTCAGGGCCGTGCCTGGTGTGGCGTAAGTTTCCCAAGTACACAGGACAGGCTCAAATGCAGCCTCCCTGTGTGTTGCGTCCCCGATAGAAAGAAACATGGTCTCCTGACCTGCCAGCTTCTTGTTTCTTGTATTTTTAAAGGTGTTTCCAGACTCAACTTCCTCAGCAAGGTGCCCATTGTCACTCCTTCTTTGCATTGGGATATAGGTCCAGAAGTTTATGTTTCCTCCTGTCCTGTCCTTTAATATAATGATTATAACTGAAAGATAATTTGAGAAGGTTAAGTAGAATATTTGTCATGCCCTAACATAACACTTGCTTCATTTTCTGGCGCATTTCCTTTCCCATGTATTGATCATGTCACATCTTTGCAATCATGGCATATCTCAGTTGATAAGGGCCACAAATATTATCTCCTTAGCCTCCACTTAATTGTTCAGTTCTTGGTGGAATCCCTGATATATAGCATGTGGTCAATACGTAATTATTAGATGACTACTATTTTATACTATTCTGCTTCCATTTAAGGTCATGAGAACATTCCCCTGTTTCCATAGCATGACTAATTGCACTCTTTAATGGTTCCACAATAGCACAGAATAGCAATTTATTAAAGATTTCCTTATTTTGGGATTTTGACTTGTTTGCTTTGTTGTTGTTGCTTTTACTGTTATAGATAATCTTATCATAATACATTTTATGCACATTTTATTTAGCTTCTTTGGAATTTGTTTCAAATTTTAAAAATTCCCCAGGATGGAATTACTGTGTAAAGGAGGTTCAGAGAGCTTTATGATTCAGGAAAGATTTCTTAAGGAGCCAATACTTCCCGGCGGGGACCATCCCTTTATGCCTGCTCTCCAATACATATTCACATATCTATTTCTCGAGTGTGTCCAAGTCAATGATGAGGGACATAGATGCCATCCCAAGAGCCCCTAACTCAGAACTCTTTGAAGAGTCTAAAGACATTTCTTGGAAGCTTTCTACATGGGGCTAAGTCAATCCTTTGGTTTCTGAATAACAAAATAGATTATTAACAGAAATGACGCCTTTCCCTCAGGTCCTAAAATAAAATCCAGAAACCGTGGCTCCTATCGGAGCAAAGTCTTTGAGACTAGTGTACCTTTAGGCAGTCCGGGCTTTGACGCTGAATGAGACTCTGAGATCTCAAATCCTAAGGAGACCTGTGTCAGCTTGTATGGCCCCTCTGACAAGTTACCATAATGTGGCAGCCAACAACAATGCAAATTATCTGACAGGTCTGCAGAAGTCTGACACGCTCTTGCTGGGCTAAAAGCAAGGCGTCCACAGGGCTGCATTCCTTTTCAGAGACTCAGGGCAGGAATTGTGTCCTTGTCTGTTCCAGGGTCTAGAGGCTGCCCACAATCTTTGGTTCATACATGGCCCTCTTTCTCTGCGTTCAAAGCCTGCAATATCAAATCTCTGAGACTCATCTCAAGTTCTCTCTCTCCTCTCTCTCTCTTTCTCTCTCTGACCATATCCTGGAAAGGTTTTCTGCTTTTAAAGGACTAATGTGATTAGATTGGGCCCACCTAGATAATCCAAGATAATCTCCCCATCTCAAGGTCCTTAACCTTAATCATGTATGCAAAAGTCTCTTTGGCCATGCAACATAATGTATTCATTGGCTCTGGGGATTAAGATGCGAACACTTTTGGAGGAATGGATTATTTTGCCTACCAGAAGACCTAAAATGGAAATATGCTTTTTAATGAAAATATATGCATTCACAAAAACACACAACATTGATTCATTTGTTTATACATATTGTTTATACAGTGAATAACTTGGGTGAATCAGGTGCAAAAGTCAGTATGAGAGTGGAGAACTCTTCGTCACCCAGTTATACTCAGGGAAAGTCCTCCAACATGTCATGTAGATCAGCACGTCTTATCTAAGGCCAAGTCCACATGTCTGGACCATGGAAGCTGCCAGCTTCCTTCCTGTCCAGGTCCAGGCTCTGCACAACTGCCTGCCCTGTGGAAGTGGGGCCAGAGCTGAAATGTGGCATATCAGGCAAAGAGAGGGGACAGGCAGGCAGGATGGAGGCCCTGAAGGTGGCCTGGTACCTCAAGAGAGAGCTGAGGGCCTCCTGTTTGCTCGGTTTTCTTTATGGGGGTTCCTTTGGCCAGAACAGAAGTTTCTGCCTTGGTGCTCCTTGTCCCTTGGCCTTCTCGTGCTGCTGCTTTCCTTCCCACCTGGATCTGGTGTTTAGTCTCTCTTGGAGAGGCTCTCTGATGACTGACCCTGGCTCTGTGTGTGTGTGTGTGTGTGTGTGTGTGTGTATGCGTGCATGTGGGCGCACGTGTGTGTTTGGAGCCTCCAGAGTAGATTAACTGAGTCCTGTTTTTTTCAGTTGTGACTAATTTTACGGTGAGTACAAAGGAAGGTATAGAAGGGCATTCATATTTCTTTCTGGAAAGCCTGGAAGGGGGAGATGTGGGCTGACAGAGGCCAGTGAGTTCAGGGATATGAATCTGAGGATAACATGGGCATTGATTCATTTATAAGATTAATTTCTTTGGGGACGCTATGATGGGCTCTGGGCCTGGGATTCAGGACTCACCATTCACAACGGACTGAGTCTTAGTTCCTTGCCTTTCATGAAAGCATGTTGGATCCAGAACTTTTCTCCAGCCTTGCAACGAGGCTTCAGACTTCCCACTAGATGGCACCCGAGTCGCGGCTCCCTCCTGCAGCACAGCAGGGCGGCCAGGAACTTGTCAGGGGCGCCTCTGTGCAGCTGAGCCTCTCACAGGGCTGGAGGGGGTCACGCCTTGAGTTCTGCTTGAGAAGACACTGCCACTCCTGTACCTGGTTTTGCCGAATTCCATTTTGGTATCCACCAAAACTAAATTAGGACTAAACTAGGCAACTTTTGCTTCATTCTCTGGATTTGATCATTATAAACATACATACATACATATATACGTACATCAGATATATGCATATGTATGTGTGTGTATATATATGTATATATACATAAAGATACTTTTGTTCCTGGGACTCCTGAAAGAAAATATGAAAACAGATTTGTTTTGTAATTGTATTTTGCTTACTTGTTTATGGGCAACACAGGGCCAGACTGAGTTGGGTTTGAGCTTTGGGTCTCATTTTCTGGACAATCCTTTCTGGGCCTCAATTTTTTTCCAAAAACTAACCATCCCTGCCTGATGGCGTTGTCAAAGAGGAAGACACAACAATGATGCAATGTGCCCAGTCCCGTGCCTAAAGCTTGGTAGGTGCTTTTCTGTCCGACTTCTTCCCCAGACGGAGCAGGACCTCTGACCCACTCACCTGCACATCCTCTCAGTTACCATGGTGCCTGGCACGTGGGTGGTTCTCTACCTGGATTTTGAGCAAATGAACAAACTAGCTTACGAATAGAGCTTACTCAAACTAATTTAAAAAGATTTTAATGTTTACTTATTTTTTAGAGAGACAGACAGACAGTGAGTGGGGAAGGACAGAGAGAGAGGGAGACATAGAATCTGAAGCAGGCTTCAGGCTCTGAGCTGTCAGCACAGAGCCTGACACGGGGCTCAAACTCATGAGCCATGAGATCATGACCCGATCCGAAGTTGGACTCTTAACTGACTGAGCCACCCAGGTGCCCCTCAACTTAATTTTAACAGACTAGTCTCCTATGACTGAAATACCAAGTTTTGTGGAGGATTCAGAAGACTGTATCATATGTCTCCTGCCTAAAGTTTCTAACAGACTGATTAGAAAAGATTAAACAAAACACATTTAAGAGTGAGCACAGTAGGCAATAAATAAAAAAAAAAGATTAAAAATGCATGGCACAGACTGTAATGAAGTTTCTAGTTCCTCTAACAGGGCTCAGCTTTTCAATTTCTGACATTGACAGTGTTTGTTTATATCTGCATTATTGATAGGAGGTTGGCCATCTTGATAAGAAACGAGAGGACTAATTTTGCAGCAGGGACAAGGCAGCCCTGGGTGAGAATCCAGTAGGTATCATGAGGGCATCAAGCTTCTAGGGATGGGATGGAGATGCCTGGAGACAGAAAAAAGGAATTTAAAAAAAAGGAAGTGAGAGGACATTGAAAACAACATTTAGTCACCTCACCATTTGGCTATTGATTTCTTCCTCTTTCTGAGTGTGAATAAAGTCACAAAATTTAAATCTGGAAGCTATTTTTTAAAGATGTATTTATTGTGAGAGAGAAAGAGAGAGCTCACAAGCAGGAGAGGGGCAGAGAGAGAGAGAGAGAGAGAGAGAATTCTAAGCAGGCTCTAAACTGTCAGCGTGGAGCCCAAAGTGGGGCTTGAACCTAGGGATGGCGAGATCATGGCCTGAGCCGAAATCAAGAATCAGTCGCTCAACCAAGCGAGCTATCCAGGTGCCCCTGCAAAATTACTTTAAAAGCACTCTGGGGGCACCTGGGTGGCTCAGTTGGTTAAGTGTCCAACTTCAGCTCAGGTCATGATCTTGGGGTTTGGGAGTTCGAGCCCTGCGTTGGGCTCTATGCTGACAGCTCAGAGCCTGGAGCCTGTTCCAGATTCTGTGTCTCCTTCTCTCTCTGCCCCTCCCCTGCTAGCACTCTGTCTCTCTGTCTCTCTCTCTCAAAAATAAATAAACATTAAAAATCAATTTTTAAGTGCTCTGATTTTTAAAAAATGTTTATTTTGAGAGAAAGAGAGAAAGAAAGCGAGAGAGCAAGCACGGGGGAGGGGCAGAGAGATAGGATCCCAAGAAGGCTCCTTGCTGTCAGAAACACAGGGTTCAATCTTGCGAACCATGAGATCATGACCTGAGCTGAAATCAAGAGTCAGACACCTAACCGACTGAGCCACCCAGGTGCCCCAAAAGTGTTCTGGATTGATCTCATGCCAACAACAGGAGCCTTTATATAATATCTCTGACTAGAGGCATTCAAATCACTGCTTAAACACATTTAGGGACAAGAATTCACCACCTCAGAAGAAAGCCCCCTTCTTTATTAGACAGCTCTAATTGTACTTATTAGATCAAAACTTTCCCCTCACTTCTATGCATTGGTTCTGGTTCTACTCTGTGGCCACTTAAGTTTCCTCCCTCTTTCACAGGTCAGTTCTTCAAATTGACAAGAACTGCTGTCAATCACATCTTTCTCAACTTTCTCTCCCCAAATTTCTCCACTACCTTCAGACATTTTCAAAGGACTCCTTGCCTCCCCCTCCACTACAAACTATCTGGAGCTGAGCCAGTGAACAAGCCATCCTCCAGAGGCCATCTTGTGCTCTGGCTTCCTGGCTGTGCCACGACACACGGCTAGATGGCGCTATGCCCAAGCCCCCAATCTGGTGCTCTGGGACTAATAGAAAAGATTGCCTTCTTCCCCTAAGAAGTTATCAGTGCCAACTTCATCTTGCCTCATATCCGTTTTCCTCAGTGACCACCAGAAGTCCAAATCCCAGCCTCTGCACTGATTCAATATCACCCTGACTCTCATCCCCACCCTGCTCTTTATGTACCTGATATGGACATCCCATATTTTGTCTGTCCAGTGCCCTCCCCTCCTTCCCTCAATGACAGCATTGCAATTTTCCTTTGAGGAACTGTTCCCTTACTTGCCAACATATGGTGAGTTCTGTCCACCGTACGTGGGCAGTGGACCCAGGTCTGGCCAATCAGAGATGCCTCCACACTGGCTACAGTGGATGGTTAGAGTCGGGATTTCACTGGTGTGATCAGTGAAGAGGCAGTGGCTGAGGACCCTGTCTGCCTATTGGGCAGCCATCCACTGCTCTGTGGGGAGAAGCTGCCTGAAAATGGAGCCAATGCAGAGGAGAGCACCTGAGGACATGTTTGGGTCCCTGATGCCTCTGAGACTAAAGCCAGCAGTCCCACTGGACTTCAGGTATGTGAGCAAAATAGATTCTCTTTCCTTTTGCTTAATTAAGTTTGAGTTGGATCTCTGATATTTCAAACTGAGAAGTCCTAATATAATTACTAATCTGACCCACCCTCCCACCCCTCCCCTCCTGGGGGACATTGCATTGCACCTCTTGGAAGATATGTTGAAAGCCTGCCATGTTCCCCTGTATATTTTCACCTCTTCCCTCACCCTTTCCCTTCACCTCTTCCCTGAACGCACTTCCCACTTTCTTTCATTAAGTGAAATCTGGCACTCCCTTCAGGACACTGCTTCCCTTGCAGCTCTCTCAGAAGACAGATCAATTTTCCCTCCCTAACCTTTGTATGCCTCAAGGCCAGGAAGTGTGTAGGAGCCCTTCTTGGTCTCAATCACCATTTAAAAACCACTTCTCTTCCTTCTACTTCAAAGTCTCCAGCTTCTCTTCACCTCCTGTCCACCTGTCCTTACTGTTCACTGATGACTTCAGCTGACTTGTCTCGCTGACTTTTTCCCCTCTGGCTCCTCCAGCTTCCATTCTCAGCCACTTCAACAGACACTTGACTGATTCTTCCAACACACGGGTCTTCATCATCTTGGCCACCCCAGACCTCCCTATCACCAGTAACTACAACACATCCAAAATCTCAAATTCATATCCCACTTCCTATCATCTTTTATCCTTACAGCTCACCTAACTAGCATACCCTTTGACCTTCAGACTGCCAATTTACGTGAACCCCATATTTTGCAGCCTGCAGTCCATCATTACAATCACTCCCCTGAAAAACCCTAAATCCTTGTCTGTCTTTCCTTCTGTTACACTCACCATGTTGTATTTTTTAAAGCTTATTTATTCATTTTTGAGAGACAGAGAGCATGTGAGCATGTGGGGCTTGAATCCACGAACTGTGAGATCATGACCTGAGCCAAAATCAAGAGTCAGATGCTCAACTGACTGAGCCACCCAGGCGCCCCACCATGTTGTGTTTTTTTAATTGATGACTTATTTACACTGGGATCTGCTTCTCAGAATCCCTTTTGCTGAATGGTTCAGGGTTAGAGTTAGTCAAAAGTGAGGTTGTACAAGATTTGAGAGGCAGATTGAAATAGCAGCCATTACACGCTGAAGGCTTGCTTTCAGTACTTATTTTTCCCTTTCTGGGTCTCTCTTCCCACTTTCTGGCATTGCTGGCCAACAGTGATACCAGGCTCAGCCCAGGCACTTGGGTGTGAACTCACAGACACAGTAACAGTGGAGAGCCAACAACCATCTCTGGACTTCCACACCAGCTGCCCTAGTGCAGCAGCTGGATATGGCTAGTTTCCAGAATTCCTACACATGCCCACTCATTCCCCAGTACCCAGGCTGGATTGTGGCCTTTCTCTGATTCTTCAGCTCCAAATTTGGACTTTTACTTCCCCAACTCCTCCTATGACTGTGTAAGTTCTAATTACTATAATAAGCTCCTTATTCCAAAAATCTTACTTAGTTCAATCCCAATGACACACTTTCTTTGAGCTTGCCCTGGAGAAAAGTATTGCTGGAGAAAACACACAATCCTACCAACTAGTTATGTGTTTTTCTTTTTAAGTTTATTTATTTTTTGAGAGGGAGAGAGAGTGAGGGCAAGAGCAAGGGAGGGGCAGAGAAAGAGAAGGAGAGAGAGAGAATCCCAAGAAGACCCCACACTGTCTGCATACAGACTGATTTGGGGGTCCAACTCACCAACTGTGAAATCATGACCTGAGCCAAAATCAAGAGTCAGATATATGGGGTGCCTGGGTGGCTCAGTCGGTTAAGTGTCCGACTTCGGCTCAGGTCATGATCTCACAGTTCATGGGTTCAAGCTCCGCATCGGGCTCTGTGCTGACAGCTAGCTCAGAGCCTGAAACCTGTTTCAGATTCTGTATCTCCCTCTCTCTCTGACCCTCCCCTGTTCATGCTGTCTCCCTCCCTCCCTCCCTCCCTCCCTCTCTCTCTCTCTCTCAGAAGTAAATAAAACAAATATATATATATATATATATATATATAAAGAGTCAGACATTTAATGGACTGAACCACCCCGGTGCCCCTAACTCATTATTTTTAATTCATGACTGCATAGTGGTCCTCTGATTTTGTCTGTACAGAATCCTTTCTCTCTTCGTTAGGTAATAAGACCACAATTTCGCTGGATGAAGTATTGCCCTTCCCACCGAGCACAGACTTGGTGAGACTTACAATAAAATCATTGTTCTTTGCCTCAGTCTGGACATTGCTCTCTCCTTGGAATCTGAATGTGGAGGGATGGAACCCAGTCATCCCAACAGCTGCTGTCCATGAGTTTCTGCTTTTGAGTCCCTGGTACTCTGGTCCTTCAGCTTTGCCTATGAGCATGGGAACTCTTTCCATTCTTCCAATAGATTTGTTGCTCAACTTAGCCAGAGTCAATATCTGAGGCTTGCATGAACCTCAAACAGATGCTCCACTCCACCCAGCACTCCTGCTAAGTTTCCCATCAGTACGGACTCTCACTTCCTAAGGCACTCATTTCATAACTTTCCCTATTTCTCAAACCTGCATTCTGCTCCACTCAACTTGAGGCTCATTTTTCATTCAGAACATGGAAGTGGTTAACATCTTCCTACCACCAACCTTACAAACCTTCTGGCAGCTGACCTCATATTTTCCATTTTCTTTCCAGTTACAATAGTTCTCTGTAGTAAGCAGTCTGTCTCCCTCCCTCTATCAAAGGCTGAGCCCTCCACTTACACTCTGGACCCATCTCTACTTTTGTCATTTCAAAGATTGTGTGTGTCTCTCCTCCCTCTCTCCTGACCATCACTTTCGCTTTCTCTATGAAGACTGTGTCCTAATATCATCCATCTTTTAAAGTACCTGCTTCCCTGACTCTATATCCACTAGCCACATCCCATTCTTTGCTCCCCACCCAAGGCAAAGCTTCTAGAAAAGATTGCTTCTACTTTCTCACTTCCCATTCTTTCTTCAACCCACCCCAACTGTGCTTCCATCCTCGATATCCCAGCCAAAGCTGCTCTTGGTTATGGCCACAGATGACTTCCATGTTGCCAAATTCTGTGGGTACTTCTCTGTTCTGCCTTTGTGTGCTCCCAGCGGCACTCAACATAATCAGCCTCTCCTTCATTTTCTGAGTTGTCTCTATTTCTCTGACACCCCAAACTTCATTTCCCTCTCTATCACTAATTGCTCTAGAGATGCTATCCAACTCTCTACCATGTTCCCTCCTTTATTTCTTTCATAGTATTTATCATACTGTAATTATCTTGCTTATTGTTTTCATATACTAGCTTATTTTTAGTCTCTCCTTATATTGATACCAGAATGTAAAGTTCTTTGCGACAGGAATTTAGTTTTGTCTGTACTGTTCAGCTGGCACACAGTAGGTATTCAATCAATGTCTTCTGAAAGATAAACATGACATGTTTCTCAGACCTTTTAGCAACACCCCTGAACTCTCTTCTCAATAAGGCCCTGACTCGGGCTTCTGTGTTCATTTTTGCTTAGTTTTTTAAGCAAGAATTCTGCTGGATCCGTTGAGCAAAAACTCTCCACCCTTGATTTCTGGGCAAATTCCTTATCTCCACCCCCACCCCCACCCCAACTCACGACTCTGGCTTGCCTTCAGCAATAATCCTGTGAAGTTTGTTTAGCCAGAATCCCCTCTACCCCTCATGTTTCATCTTAGTAACTTTCCATCCACTACCTCTGCTCCTTGGCTATAAATCTTCATGTGTCCTCATTGTATTTGGAGTGAAGCCCAAGCTCTTTCCCCTACTACAAAACCCCATTGGAGAAGTCCCTACTGAATGAAGTCTAACCACATAGTCTTTAATAAGTATCATGAAAATTTCTTTAATGACCCTGCAGTTCTATTATACAGCCTAAATTTACTGCAGCTTTTTGGCAACCGTATCCAAGGCCGTCTCACTGACGTACATGTAAATGGGGTCCTGTGGATTGTGCAACTTGGTGGCTCCTACATTACATTGTTGGCCAGCACTAAGCAGAGAGAGTTAAATGCATTTTCAAACATTAAAATTTTTTTTAATATTTATTCATTTTTGAGAGAAAGAAAGAGAGAGCATGGGCAGGGGAGGGGCAGAGAGAGAGGGAGACACAGAATCTGAAGCCAACTCTGGGCTCTGAGCTGTCAGCACAGAGCCCAACTCAGGGCTCGAACTCATGAACCTCAAGATCATGACCTGAGCTGAAGTTGGACGCTTAACCAACTGAGCCACCCAGGAGCCCCATTTTTTAACATTTTTAATAGACATACTATAAGGTCAGTTTTCCTCCTTGCTGTATATAGTTCCCTTTTCTCCACCCCCCGTGCCTCCCCCCTTTTTGAATAGAAAATAAATATTTATACTTCTTCCTAACAGGAAGAGTTTGGGTCCTTCCTTTAGGTCCACTGAGTTTGGATCTTGCTCTTGTCACTCAGCACCTTAGTGACATGTTACTTGAAATTGGGATAAGCCTGCTTTATCCATCTTCATTAAAATGCAGGACAGGATAAAGTCAAGGGTAGAGATCTGTGATACACCAATAGAGAAATTCCCCCAGGTTGGTATGAATAAAAGTCAATCCTCTTTAGGCTTCCCTTTAGCACCTTGTCATCTTATGCACACTTTGCTCTCAAATTGCTCAAAAAACAAAAATGTTTCAGAATAAAAATTACCAAATTGAATCATGTATGAGAAGGGCATTGGACCCAACACATTAGGATCAACTCATCTCTGAAACTTACTAGATCTATGAACTTGCACGGGTCACTCCAATGCTCTATAGCGCAGTATGTTCCATTCGTAAAACCAGTATAGAAATGGTTTTGAATCCAGTTGCAAGGTGCTAGAGGAGTGAATCTCTTGATGTACATGAGTGCTTGAGGTTATACTTCTGTGACTCCAGACAGGGTCCTCCTCATGAATGCAGCGGTCTTTTGTCATCTGCTTTAGTGCTATTTATAACAGGTAGTCATTAGGGGAAAATCTTGTTAACCACCAAGATGATATAAATTATGATATACACACACAAAGGGCCATTGTACAGTAATTATGTTGTAGACAGAATCTTAATGATGTGGAGAAATAAGTGAAAATAACGATTTTACATAAAAAATGATCCCTGAGCAATGTGGAAGAAAGCATATGAAAGTGTCAAAAGTGGTTATTTTGGGGCAGTAGGATTATTAATCATTTTTCCATTCATTTTATTTTCTTAAGTGTATTTATTTAGAGAGCATGTGCGAGTTGAGGAGGGGCAGAGAGAGGGAGAAAGAGAATCTCAAGCAGGTTCCGCGCTGTCAGTGACATGGGATTTGATCTCAGGAATCATGAGATCATGACCTGAGTTGAAATCAAGACTAAACAAACTCAACCAAGTGGAGCCCCACCCAGGCACTGCCCCAGTTTTTCCATTCACTTTATTTATCTTTATGTTTTAACATTTTAACATATAACATTACATATACTGTTTTAAAAAATTGGAAAACATGGGGCACCTGGGTGGCTCAGTCGGCTAAGCGTCTGACTTCAGCTCAGGTCATGATCTCATCGTTTGGGAGTTCAAGCCCTGTGTTGGGCTCTCTGCTGACAGCTGGGAGCCTGGAGCCTGTTTCAAATTCTGTGTCTCCCTCTCTTTCTGACCCTGTCCCGCTCATGCTCTCTCTCTCTCTCTCTCTCTCTCTCTCAAAAATAAATAAACATTAAAAAACAACTGGAAGACATTTTGAGTTGCCTAAAACATTAAAAGCTTTATAAACGTTTATGCTTTTTAATTGTACAAACTCTATTCTGAGGAGATCATTTCTTTTTTTAAATTTTTTAAATGTTTTATTTATTTCTAAGAGACAGAGAGACAGTGTGAGCAGAGGAGGGTCAGAGAGAGAGGGAGACACAGAATCTGAAACAGGCTCCAGGGTCTGAGCTAGCTATCAGCACAGAGCCCGACATGGGGCTTGAACCTATGGACCGTGAGATCATGACCTGAGCTGAAGTCAGATGCTTAAGCGACTGAGCCACCCAGGTACCCCTGAGGATTTAATCTAAGTAAATAATTCAAGTTACAGAATATGGGTGCATCCAAAGATGTTAATGTGATGTTATTTAAAAAGTATAAAATTGGAAACCATCTAACAATGCAGAAATGATTAGAGAAAAACACATCATCTATTTCAAACCAAGGGCAGACTTTTAAAATTTTGTAGGTAAAGTCTGTAAAAACAAGAGCTTACAAAGTAACGTTAAGTAGAATAGAATCATATTCAGATTATAACTATATATATATATATTTTTTTTTTAAGGCAAAAAATAAAGCACTAAAAGTAATCTGAACTACAGAAAAGAAGAGTGATTGGTTTGGGTGGTGATGTTCAGGATCATCGTAAAATGTTATTTAACTTTCCTACACTTTGCAAATATGAGCATTTGTGTAAGTAGGAAAAAAATGTACAGTTATTTAAAACTCAGAAGTACCTGCTCTCTGGGAAGGAGACTGGAGGGTTGAACTTATCTCTTTCTGAGGAACCTACTTGTGGGGTTTTAGGGAGATGGGAATAAACTGCTGTCCTTATTCAAAGGCCCCAGAGCCCCACCCCGCCCAGAGCAGGGGCTCTGGGGCCCCAGCCACTCACTGTCAGGTGCAGCATACTCGCTCCTGGTCCGATGCAGCCTGGGCCTTGAAGGTCCAGTCCACGATGTGGTTTCCTCCCACCGGGGCTTGAAATCCCCAGAGAGATAAGGAGGGGCCGTTGTATCCACTCAGGCCTGCCCTGAGCAGGAAAATCCCCATGTACACTCATTATCACCATTTCCTACTCCTTCCCAGGGGGACACTTTTGATAACGATGATACTGCTGCTGAATGACGATAGCATACTGAGTTCCTTGAAGGTGCCAGTGATACTAGAGTATTTCAGTGAATCCCCACAATGATGTCTGTACTCCCTTGAGGGATATGCATCATTATCTTCATTCTGCAGATCAGAAAGCTGAGATTTAAAGAGATTAGGCCATTTCCTCAAGGTTACACAGCTAGTAAGTGGCAGATGTAATTGACTGTCCTTGGTCCATGCTCTTGACCACCGGCTTGATGCAGGTTGAATTCCCAGCCCATGCTCTCAGCTGTACTGTCTCCTCTTCTTCCTGGAGGTACCACGTCATCACTGAAACTGGCTAGGGCTGCCTTTCCTCACACCATTCTCCAGTCATCCTTCTCCCCACAACTCCCTGAGATCTGAGGCAGCAATTTCAGGAGCCTTTCTGTGTACACACACACACACACACACACACACACACACACCCCACGGCATTTTCCCATTACCCCTCTGAATGGCATGTACATATGATGAAACTGAAGCTATGCAGATAAAAGTCACAGGGCTCCAGTGCACAACCAAAATATAAATTCCAAAGTGTTCCATTTATTTGTCATGGTCCATGCAGGTGTCCCCTTGCAGGGCAGAACGTGCCTGACTTTTCTCTGTATCAGCCTCCAGCACCCAGGACACAGCCCGGTGCCTCATGTGGCCTCCGTGAAAGTTTTCTGAATAAATGAGTGAAAGAAAGAACTAATGTATGTTTTAACTATATGTATATCACATATAGCCTCAGTTTCTTCATCTGTAAATAGGTAGGACTTGCCCTCTCCTTTGAGTTGAGAGCCGTTGAAGGGCAGGGAACGGATTGTATTCATGGTGTAGGTCCAGTACTCACTGTGTTGCCCATAGACAGGATGTCCTGTCCATTAGGTCATTTGGGTAGAGCTGAATCCCAGCAGGCTCCTTATAGGGGTCTGAGAATGAGTGAAGCAAGGCCTCCTGCATGCCCTGCACCCATCTCAGAGAAAGACATTTTGCTGTTAAGTTACTGAGATGGACTGTGCTATCTGCCTCCCCACTGCAGAGTCCGTGTGCAAAGTGTGGCCTTCCATTTCTGTTTGCTGATCACCTGCTAAGGGTCAGGAATCAGAATGGGCTCCTGCTACTTTTCAGGCAAGAGCCCTCGTAATTGCCTTGTTCATACGTCTTTGGTTAAAGAAACCCAGGAGGGTAACATGACCTGACAAGAGAGGTTTCCCATAGAGACCCTGACAGCATTTCTCAGGGGGAATGCTCTCCTGCCTGCCTGCTTGCCCAGGAATCTACGGCTCAGAATATTCTATCAGATAACCTCCTTTTTGAGCTCTTTTTCTCCTCACTTCCCCCTCCCACCTCACTCATGTTCCCTCCCTCTCATCCCATCTTCCTTATCCACCACAGAACCTACATACCGTCAACTGTCAAACAGCATTTTTGAATGGAAGACCGAATGAGCCTCCTCCCCCTCCTCCCTTCTCTTGTCTGCCTTTTTCCCTCACCTGTACACACACTCGCACGCGCACACGCAGTTCTCCTTCAGCCACTCTCACCACCTGCCAACACAGCAGCCTGGAGAAGCTACTAGAGCCTTTGTATTATTTTGCTTTCATGTTCAGGAACTCCTAAGGCTCTAGGTGGGAAAAGGGTTCCCTGGAAAACTTTGGAATGACTCAGTGGCCCAATGGCCAGCACAGGATGCAACCTTTAGAGATGTCACCTCCCTGCCTCCTGAAAGGGACAGTTTTGAGCAGCCTTGCTCTGATTCAATGGAAAGTTTGGAGGGTTTCAGGTTTCAACCAACCATATAGCTGTTCAGTTCAGAAGGGCTACCCTGGCTGGAGACTGGAAGGCATACCTGCTCTCCCAAAGTGACACAGTGGGTGCGGGGCTGTCTCAAGCTCTATCATCTAAGGTACAGCTGAGAATTCCCTTCCCGACTTTAAAACTCTTTGAAATAAACTTTGAGAGGGACAGCTAGCAATAATGTCCTACTCCAAGTGTTTAGCATTTACAGTTAACCAAGTACTTTTACAGTAAATATCTCACTCGAACCACACCACAACCATAGCAGACAAGAAAGATTGTTATTCCCATATCACAGATGAGAAAACTGAGTTCCAGCAAGAAGCACAGCTTGTCCAAGGCAGCGGTACAGCTGGACCTCAAACCCAAGTCTTCTGGATGCCAGAGCCAATTGCTTTAGTCTTACTGATTTCCCTCTTGACTCTGCCCCCATTCAAATGGCAGATCTCTCTGGTTTGGTAATGATCTCGCTGCTTAATGATCAGCTGACCCTTCCACAGTGATAAGCAGAGGTTCACTGAGAACAGGATCACGTGGTGATTGCCCACAGGATTGACCCCTGGGGGAGGGCCTCACTCCAGGGGCGGGAAGAAGCACACGTACATGCCAAACCACACATGAATGCCAGGGCCATTCTGCCAAAAATGAGCCAACAGAGGCATTCGTACCTATGTATTGTCTTCAGAGGTGAGATTTCCTCAATTCCTTAGGAAGCCATCTCTCTTTCTGTCACCCTTTTCCTCCAGGGTGACGGGGGAGCTCTGCTCCCACAACTGTGTCTGCATCTCAGTTTCCACGTATCTGAGTGGCTCTCCCAGCTGCAGCTCCACCCAGCCGAACCTCCATGTGCCTCCTGTCCTCTGGAGCTCTTTGCTGGAGGTGACCGAGCATCATGAGCCAGAACACTGGAGGGGCCGTTTCCAGGAGGAGAAGTCACATCAAGTGCGGGCCGTGGCCTGGATTATGCCCCTCTGATCACAGGGGAAGCCAGGTGGACGGCAACACTGAGCACTGTGTCAGAACGGTCCAAAAAGGGTCACCTACTGCTCAGGCTGTGAGTAGAAACACAGGAGTGGCCCCACCCATTCTGGTGATGGAGTGGGGCTCCCAGGCTCCTCACAGGTGGATGAGCCGAAGGTCTTCTGTGCACCAGGAATGAGAGCCACTTCATTTCCCTCTGCCTCGCATTCTCCACCAGAATCCGTGGAATGTCCTGCAGGCCCGCAGTGCCACCGACCTCAGGAGCGGTGGCAAGGGACCGCTTTTCCTTGTGCTTTCCCAACATCTTTCCATGACATTTTTCCTGTTTCCCTGCCTCCTGTAGTGACTGTGTGTTTGCCCCTATTGTAATTACACAATAATAAGGACCACAACAAAAATCAGCTCCTATCTATTGAGTATATCGGGCTTTGTAAATCTTCAAACCATGGTATGGTCACCGTCATCTTACAGGTGAAGAAATGGAGATGTAGAGAAGTCAAGAGACTTGACCAAGGTCACCCAGCTGGTAAGTGACTGTCCAGAACCACACATCCCCAATCCCCAAGCCCAACACTTGCCCGTGTGGGCCTGCTTCCCAGTCCCGATCACTCTTCACAATTTCTCCCCAACTCAAATCCACTAGTCCTTTCTCCATCAATTAGGTCTACCAGCCAATACATGTCTACAGACCCTCCCCACTCCACGGGCCTGGGCACCTGGAGAGATTCAGGTGGCAGGAAGCCAGAACCCCTGCCCCTGCGTTGCTGAGGAGCTGGCTGCCTAAGGAGACTAGACAAAGACCAGAATTTCACACCCAAGCTCTTTGCCACCTCTGCCAAGTCCCTTCCCCTCTCTGGGCCTCAGTTTCCTCCTCTGCAAAATGAGATGGTTGTACTAGGAGATCACAAGTACAAAATGCTACTTATCTGTGATCAATTGAGCACAACCCACCTAATGAGAAGGTGGGAATACTGAGGCCCAGGGATTAGGGCTGTCCCAGGAAAATTGCTGGAGCAAAGCCAGAAAAGAAAACTGTGAGATTTGATCCTTAGAAGAAAACTGCTTGGTTACTAAGACTAGGCCTAACACCTAAGAATGAACCTAGTGGAGGCCCCATGAGTGGGGAGGAGGCCCACTGCTTCTGGTTCCTTCTGTAGCCAACAAAGCCCAGAAAGATTCATGCCGGCATGGGTTTCCCCTTAGTTCTTGGGCACTGAGGGAAAAGTAAGCTGCTTGCTTCCAATCCTTTCGCTTCTACAGGGACTAAGGCTGTCCCGAGAGCAGTACGCCCCCAGATCAGTCACTTAGAAGCTATTTTCCTTAGAAGGGATGGACCCAGTTGGTAGGCTGCTGTCCTTGCAAGGCCTCTGGGTACAAATGCCCACGGCTCGCAGCACGTCCTAAAGAAGGAAGTGTTGGCATTGGTTATGGAAGAAGGGGATAAGTGGCTTGTCGACAGATTTTGTTGCAAAGTTTCTTTCTTAGTTGTGTGGGCTGTTTTTCCCATGCTGACATGAAAGGCACATTGTGAAGCTGGGTGACATTTTTGCCTCTCCTGACCATATCTTATAACAATGGGGTATGATGCTGCCTTAGATTTGTGGGCCAAAATACCGTTTATACCACACTGCGCACACATTTTCTCAATTTGTGTGTAAATTTTTGTTTGTATATAAGTAGAGGGAGGTGGGATATTCTTCATAATGCTCGTTTTATAGGTGGGTACACTGAAATTCAGGGAACTGGTGTGCTTAAATCATCTAGTTTGCTATCCAGGGCACGGTGGGCTCAAATGGTCCTTCCTATCTTCTCAGAGCATGTGAGCCCACACTCCCTCATATTTCTTTTTCCTTCTCATTCATCCCTTTGTCCCATTTATACCCAAAGCTCTTCTATACACGGACGTCACCCACCCCTCCGACTAATGACATGGAGAGCCGCTTTCTATGCCCTTGCTGGGCTCTCAGTTTAGGAGAGAGACGGTCTCTCCTAAAGGCCTGCCTCACTTTGTCTATTATAATCATACGAATCTATATTTGTGAGGTGCTTTTAATTTTTAGAAATTA